AATAGTACTCATCCAAAAATGTCCCCAATCTCAGGATCTCACTTGCACAGCTGGCTTCTGTTGGTCACATGTCAGCTTCAGAGCACATCTGTTCATTCCTCAAGGATCCACTAGGCCCCATGAACACAATGTGCTCTGTGTAGAGTACTTTACACCACAAAACCCAGCAGCTGCAGGGGTGAGAAAATCTCTACTTCTCAAGTTTGTGTCTCTAGGCAGTTTGAGTAGGGTGTTTTCTATCTGGCTTCCTTTTGGTTGCCTGTCACTTCTGACATTCAGATGCCTATTGGCAACAAAGTTGCTTTTACTATTCCCAGGGACAGATGTTTCTAGTCTGGGAAGAAACAGACCAAAATTTTACTGGAAAGTAAGAATTCTTGCCACATTTAGGCACCCAACCTGAGAAAACATAAGGAAGATCCTAGCTACAGGCTCAAGAATGGAAAGGTAATCACTGCCAGGAAAATAATGTCCAGACATGAACAGTTAGTCTCAGCATTTAGGAAAAAAAATATTTGCATCAAATCTCCCCATCTCTGCTGTAGAGAACAACAAACAACATTTTCCTGGTAGGGCATGTGGGAAAGGTACAGATATATTCAGTTCATTTTCAGAAGTGATGCCTTTGTTCCTAAGCTTTCTAAGAAGTCAAGAAAAAGAGAGTGTAAGTGTTTCAAGTACTTTTGAAACTGTGTGTGCATTGGAAAGGGTATGTGTTGACAAAGTTCGGTTGGAACACCATAAGAGTGCACAAAAGAAACTGTAGGTCCATGAAATTGAAGACATTAAATATAAGTGAGTTTGTGTCATATACTTCGTTAATTTAATTCATAGAAATTCATTGTCATGAATGATTAATGATCTTATGAAGTCTGCTTTTATGGTCCTCAAAGGCCTCATTGCTAGTTTCTGGAGGAAGGAGTAGTCTTAGGTCAACATGTTTTAAATGAGATGTGAGGGACAAACATAGCTTATAATATCGTAACTAGCTTTTTTTTTCCACAGGAATGTGTCTATATTTATATAGCATAACCTGTTAACTCTGTACCAATGGCTGCAAATACAGACCACAGAAGCTTCTTTAATAACACACATAACACCAAGTCCAAAATGTTCTACTCTGTCATTCATGTGTAAATCAAGTATATTATTCATATACTTCATCGACTTCCTGAATGCGTGCTAAAAATGCCAAGGAAAAACTCATTAATCGTGACATGGTGACTGCTCAGCTAGCTCTGAAATGTTGATGGAAAAGAAAAATTGTCAAAGGGCCTTTTTAAGAACCTCTGCAGGTTACACTCGCAAATCGGAATTCAGAGAACATGAATTTCCTCGTGCAGGAAGGAAGGATTAAAATCAAACACCCTCCAGTGGTTGCATCTAAAAACTGCATATTTGTCCCAATGGCTTACTTTAAAAAATTTAAAATAAAGTCTTCCTGTGCACCATTGAATATCCAAGATGCAAGTGCAAGTCCCTGCTTAGGCTGATGGGTGTACACAATCTCAAAAGTATTAAAATGATTTCTATAGACTATAAAATCTCTGCTCATCCTAATGCCATTGCCTTGGGCATCTTACGTGGAAATATTTTAAATGCCTAGGTAAGCTACGTGACTATCTCCTGTTATCTTTCATGCAGTATGTTATAATCCATAACAAAATCTTGAAACTTTGAGCTACGAAATTTTATGGTTTGTGCAGGCCTTTACCCCCATGGTCAAGGAGAACTTTCAGAATATGGTTCACCAAATCAACCAATGAATTTCAATCAACCTAGCCACACGACCTGTTGATTCAATTAAGTACAAAATATTCTACATGCTATTGGCTAAACTGATACACTGAGCTGATTCAATTAATTTGTCAAGTCATCATAATGGAGCTATAAGAGGGCATTTCTTTGGAATGCATTTCTCATATTTTCATGTTCTCCCAGTCTTGTTCTCACTCTCATGCATTATCTGCTTCATTATACACAAAGCAAGGGTCATCTACTGAGTATCAGATAAAGTGGATCAATCACCTATAAGGAATATTCTTAGGTCAACATGTTTTAAAGCTATGGTTGTCCTTTTCAGATGTGCAGAATGATGAAACATTCTTTTCCAGTTCAGAAGGACAATCACTAATGTTGAAATGTTCCGATCTAAAGACTGACATTTTAAAAAATTATTTATAGGCGTTGATTAAGAGTGCCAATTGTGCCAACAATTGTGGAACATACAAAGGCAGAAAATTTAGTACCATACTGAGTTCTACTAAAAATGATCTGACATATAATCCATTTTGGTGATGATATTACCATAATATAATTTAGGACACTATTACTCTAAAATAGATTCGGAAGAATTTCTGTTTCACAAGGTGTTTTTGCCAAAACATATATATATATATATATATATATATATATATATGTGTGTGTGTGTGTGTGTGTGTGTGTGTGTGTTAGGTCAAGAACTAGTATAAGAATATTTTAAATTTTTCATCAATGATTGACCAATATCTTCTAGGTATTACCTTTTTTAAAAAATTGGCAATTTTCGGAACAGAGCCCAGGAGCTCACACATGCTAGTTTATATTCCAGCCCACTAGGCATTTTTTTCTAATATCAAAAAAAGAAAAAAATATACATATATATGGCATATGTATGTAGATGACACTTGCTTTGTGTATAATGAAGCAGATACCATATGAAGATGTGAGAAAGTCATGTGTTTGTGTTAGCCTATTCTAATGATTGATATTATTCTTATGAATTACCCACAATTTTTTTTCTTTCAGTAAAATGCTGCTTTTAACTTTCACATTCACCTTGTTAAAGGAAATGCCTTTCAAATACTGTTACGCACAAATGTAAGCCCTTCATTATTTCATACTTGTTACTACCTTTTGTCTTAAAACAACACTGTTCAAACAAAATCAAAACCAAATCTTTTGTTATGTAACAGTAAAATATGAAGATAAATGAGATTCAGCACCTATTTATTGTCATATAATAATATTTCTGATTAAACAAGACATAAATAGATGGAAAGCTGCTGCATAAAGTTGTAAAACAAAACAAAATAGAAGTACAAAATTTACAGTCAAACAAGTAATTATGCACCATAAAATATTGGACTGGAGAGATTATTATGTACCCTTCACTGAGGCAGTGATATGAAGAAGGATAAATAGGATTTAAATAGACCTAGAAGACTAACATGAACAAAAGCAATGAAGGGATACACAATGTATTAAAAGACACAGTTTGACTGGAGTTGAAGATATGAGTAGAGAACATGGTAGAAGAAAAATTTAGGAGATAAATCTGGGCTGGTAGCAGAGTGAAATTTATTATTTAGGAAATAGTAAACAATTAGTTTATTGAACTGGGGTTGTGGCATGATCATGGATGTTCACATGATATTAATGGGGCCAGATGGATGGCAGGAAACATAAGTAAAGAGAGATAATCAACATTGTAGGAGTGATTAGTTTTTGTACTTGAGTTGTTGGTACTGAGAATTCAAAGGATGAAAGTGGCACAGGATTTGGGAGGAAGATAGAAGAACAAAAAGTATTGCTGAGTTATCCAGATGTTCCTTTGGGAATCAGTTAATGTAGAATGGTATTTAAAGTCATGAAAATGGGAGAAATTATCAAAAAATAGTAGAGGACCATGGGTTGAAGTGTGGGGAATCCTGATGTTTATACTTCTCACATTGCAGGAAAGAAATGAACCAGTAAATATGTTCTCTTTTGTTCCTTTCCATGCACGTGTAAGTGTGAATACTAAAGTATACACACAGATATACATAGATATACATGTACCCTAAGAAAAGAGATGGACAACAAAAGCTCAGTTCTTTCCATTTGTCTCTTATCAGCTTATGACCATGGCGGACTGCTAATAATCTGAATAAATGTTATTGATGAACAGCCTGACATAGCAAAATAAGAACTAAAGTCAAACAGATCTAGGTTCTACTCCCAGCTCTATTCTTTGCTAGCTGTCTAATCTTGGACTTCTTTGAGCCTTTGATTCCTAATCTGGAGGATAAGGACCCTAAAATAAGGATTATTGCAAATATCAAGTGTAATAATGTATGTGAAATTATTTTATATACTGTCAAGTATTGAAAATACAGGCCTTTTTATTATAAATAAACACATTTATTGTGTTTAATTTATCATGTTGTCTATTATATTCACCAGATAAATCTTCTCCTCTCGAGGATATTATCAGACACATGGAAATAAGTTGTCCTTCTCTTATTTTATCTCAAGAACATTCTTAAAAGTTCTTTGAGAGTAGGAACCACGACATAGGCTTCTCTGTATTCTCATTATACTTTACCATGTATGCATTCTGAATATTAACAAGAACAAAGTACATATCTTGACTTGAAGCTAAATTTATTTTGAAAGCTCAAATGTAGCATTCAATCTGCAGCATTAGTTAAAAGTGGCATGCAAGCCTACAGTGTCCAGCACTTCATAAAAGTAATTTACATACATCATGAGAATGCTGTACCCAATATCCTCATGTACCTTTCTTAAGTGGAGTTTTCCTCATAATTCTGGGAATGAGTAACAGGGTATAATGAATAACAAGGTTGGAATGTAGATATTCAGAGTTATTAGTAAAAATGATTGGAAGAATAAGTAGCAGCACAATGACAGAAGAGCGGCTTTGGAACTGAAATGCACTGAAATGGTTTACAGTGACTTTTACAGACTTTTTAAAAGGACCATAATTTTCTCAGAACACTAACGTAATATAATTAAAAAATGCCATTAAGGCACAATTTAAAAGCCACACCTAAAACACAAGTGAGAATGCCTTTTAAAAGTTCAAATGCTCTAAAGGGGAAATACAGGTGTTAAGGAGAAATTTGAATTTTAAAAATCTATAAGAAACAACTGTCTAAATACTTGGCTCTGATGGCTTGAAGCCTCCATATAACTTTCTAAAAGTAACTATTTTAAAAACAAAAATTGAAAATACTTACTTCCACTTGGAATGAGATCCCTTTCTGGGATGAAGAGTTTGTATCCATAATGTTTTTCCAGGACATCTGGCAGTATTTCAAGAGCAAACTGCTCTTCTTCAGGATTGTCACAATCTAAAGTATCTTGATCCACTTTGGTGTAAGACAGATAGGCATCATATTCCTTGTTGTCTTAGAGAAAAAGAGAGAGTGGTAAGTATTAAAAGGTTGTTGTGGGTTTTTTTTTAGGATTAAAGGAAAAAATTATTAAAGCATAAGTAATTGAATGTACTTTTTATTCTTACTTTTTTATTGTTAACACATATTAATTGTATAAGTTAATGGATTTCATTGTGATATTTCCATATGGTTCCATGTATGGGGCCTTGATTCTTCTACCATCTTTTAGAATCTGTAACTACTAATAGGCTGAAATACACACTATAATTAAGTCACATGACACATTATAGGAAATCAAGTCAATTTCAACATAAACTAGTCATGTGATATGAACTGAAACTTTTATTTGATGGGCTACTTTTATTTAGGACAGACTAAAGGAATTATTTGTGATGTTCGATGATGTGTGTACATGATTAGTTCAGTGTTTTTGAAAGTAGGAATAAATAGACCAAAGTCATGGATTTGAACCCTTTATCTGCCAGTTGGCTTGGCTGTGCTACTTGGTCACAGACTATACCTTGTTTGTACAAATATGTGCAAGAGATCCAACAGGGGCTTGGCCGTAGAGTGTGGAAGATTGAAATAATCCAGCTTCCCTCCTGGAGACACTACTCAAAGCACATGCCATACTTCCAGTTGGTTAGTGTCGTCATCTTCATATACAAAAAGCAGTTCATTACCAAATATTAGAGACAGCAGCTGGGTTTTAGACAAATACATTGCCTGTTATTCTTGTTTAGACCATGGCCAACTAATTTGACATAAGGTCCAAAAGAAGTCTTTGTTTCAAAATATACATCCTTCCAATATTGCCAAATTAGGTTTTTCCCTTCACATATTTAGTCAGGGAGTTAACTGTGCTTTGCAAGTATATTTTTTTCCTCTTTTGCTGTATTGGATCATAGCCAGACCCTCTAAAGTAAAAATGTGCATGTATGCATGCATTATTTCCTACAAAATGTTAATGAACACAGCTATTCAAAGTATTAGTCCCCATAGGTTTAGAAGGGCTACACTGAAAAAGTTATAGTGTTATTTTCAAAATTCCCTCAGTTATAGAAAAAGATTTTTAAAAGTTAATTTAGTGAGCATAGGCTCACTGCAAACTGTAAATGAATGCTTATTAAGCCCAGTGACTTGCAAATAATCCTTTTGACAGACTGGTAAGAATTCCAAGATTGTTTCTAGAATACATCAACATTGTTCATTTAAACAGATCTGATTAGAATATAGCTAAAACATGACAAAAAGGTAATTTATAGAACGAAACAGCCACTCATGATATTAATGATTTGATTCTACCTGCTGAATGAGATATAAACTATAGACATACAAGATACAGATATTCTATTGTAGAAGGAGTTGGGACGCCCCCCTGACTATTTAGAGATATCTGAGGTAGGATTTATGGTGTTCTAATTCTAGTCAGATTCTAGTCTTCATCACCCTAGCATGAAAAGAACTTTGGTTATCTCTGTCAAGACGGTATCTGAGACTGGGAGTAAAGTTTAACAGTCTTTAGAATGTCCCTTGCTTGCAAAAGGATTTCATAAACCTTGGCTAGATTACTTGATTGCCTAGAAGCAGATGCACATGAAAGACTGCCCTTGATAGTTGAGGAGATCATTTGGCTTACAAATTGGGCACATTCCACGGTTGTGCATAAAACTCCACTTGGAAGTGAGAATGTTCATGAGCAATGTTAATGTAAGAACCTCCTGGTAATCCTAGCACCTCTGCCCCTGTTCCAATCAAGCACAGGATGCACCTGCAGGCCCTTGACTTTCTCCAGCTATAATTACTCACCTGGGACCCAGAGCTGCCGATGATACACAGCTGGAAGAATAAAATAGGCCAAAGGACAAACAGCCCCATTCCTATGAGCAGAATATATTTCATTGTTCTTGGTGGATAGTATTACTGCCTCAAACTCCACGTCCAACAAGATCCTTGTTTGCTGTGCCTTTGATAGCCTTCCTATATGATAAACTTCCCTAAATTAAAGTGCATATTAATTCATTCAACAATGATTTGTTGAAGATGCACTATGAGCTAGCCACATGCAATGGCTACCTGACTCTATCACTCATCTAACCAGACCTTCTAGATTGTTATTCCAATGCTAGTCCTGATTATGGCTATCGCCCTCCAAATATGCCTAAATAAACTCAAAATTTCTGGTCCTATCCTTATTTACTCTGTCTGTATTCTGAATACTACAGTCCACTGATGCAAAGACTTTTTCCTAGAAAAGTATTTCTATATTTGTGTATCCAAAATCAATTATCACAAAGAACATGGATCCCTTTGACATGTTAACACCCAAAACATCTGGATAATAAATTTTACATAGCATTCTAGAAGCACATCACTTATTTGAGAACATTTGCTTCTCATTTCAGTCCTGTCCCTTTAAGATGAACTAAAGGTGAAGAGCTTATGGTGGTTGGCCAGAGCAGGAAGAGAGCTCTCAAAGCCACCATGTCAGATGTCCCAGAAACTCTAGGATGCCAAGTAGTGATCCAGGAATGACGCAGATGCCACAGCTTAAAAAATGCACTTCAGCTTTATGTAGACAGCCAAGAAAATCTCATGAATAGCCACAGCTGTTGCTCACAAAGAGGTGCAAGATGGGTAGAGCAAAAGCAACAACACGATGTAAATAAGGTTAACAGCAAGGCCTGAAAATTGTCTTAAAATTGAAAGGCAGTTCAGGGACACTGCTTTTCTAGGCAACACTAATGAGCCTTCTTATGTGCTAAATCATGCTGACTAAACTCATCTGAGGAACCAGAAAATAGAGCACAATGCAGAGACCGCAATAGAAGGAAGAGGAGTGCCACAGTGGTCATCATAGGCATGCTGTTCTAGTGAAAAGAGTAGTTATGAAGAAGACAACCAAACTATTTATGGAAGAATGTTCTTGTTGTCACACCTGTCCTTCCTTGTTTTTAAGTCTAATTTTAATCTTGTTCATCACCAGGTAGTCATTTCTGTTTACAGCCCAGTTCTTCCGAATCTGTGCTGAATACTGTTCTAACCCTTAACTTCTAAACTGAAAAGACTGTGTAACCTTGGTGATTATTAGATACTTGGTTCCTACTATAGTATATGTGTGTGTATGATGTTCTGATCATGAGGAAGAAGATAAGAAAATGCAACATGCACAGCACTTGCCACACAGTAGACACTTATTAAATATTTAATGACCAAAAAATTGAAAGATCAAAGAAATAAAACAATCTGTTTTTGTGGGTTGAAGTGAATTCAATTAAAAATAATTAAGAAGTCAAAGTTTGTTGAATGGATTTTATTTTATAAAACAAAGTATATTTTTCCTAGAAAAAGTACTTTTATTTCATAAAACAGAGTATATTTATCATAACTTGCAGGAAATGCCACTATCAAAAGGTCAAAGAAAAAACATGAAGAAAAAATATGCAGGTAAAATTAACTTCTATTTATGAGATGCCAGATATTTAAATGAAGCAATGAAAATGTTGGTATCCTATCTGTCTGACATTTGGCATCATTCAACTGGATATTTGTAAAAGGAAGTAAAAATTCATGTATTCATCCTACAGCACATCTGCTGACTTTAAAGTATTCCATTTTGCTATCACAGAGATTTTGAACCCAAAATCTCTGTAATAGCTAACTGGAATATTTTTAAAATATTTTAATTTTCTTCCTAATGAATTCCCTTAAAATACCCTCCTACCATACTGCATTTCCCCCTATGTAATGGGTTTTGTATCAATATATACAATTTTCTAAATAAAATGATCTTTATTACTGCACAGTCTTGAGTCACATGGACCAAATAATTGGTAATAAAGATGTAAAATGAAATATTCGATCCCTGATAATCCAATGATATTAGTGTGGGCTTAATATTAATTTGCATACTCCAAATAATCAGTTACTTTGGATTATTGGGTATGTGTGATGAAAATTATTGTAAATTAACCCAATAAATTGTATCATTTCTTACAGAGATAATAAAAGATGTTCATCTTTTACCTTCCCAAATGGATAGTTTAGCCACTTGTTCATCTGGGAACTAGTGACATTTTCCTCAGTAGCATATTTCATCTAGTTATTTTACATGAACAGGTAAGAAGTCAGATTTTTCAACATGAATTACTGTATAAAAGAGCAGAGGGTAATTGACCACATTTTCATGAGTACTCTATAACAATGGTTAGAACAAGTTGGAATTTCTCATTTTGAAGGTATGTCTGAATAAGAGTGTGTAGTACTTTTATTTTTTTATTAATTTTTATTTTTTTTTGCATTACAATTCTTATTACACATATAGAGGAGTGTGTAGTACTTTTAAACAGGCTAGTATAATTATGTAAATATACATCTTGGAAATAAATATGCCTATTTACTCATCAAGGAGAATTTCTCTAATTTACTGTGAAAATATGAAAGTCAATTAAGACTTACACACATACCCATTTAATAGTAACAATAAGACCCAAATAAAAGATCTTCAAAATTTTGATATTACACCTATCACTATAAAAATAAAACAAAATCATGAACTTCTCTTCTTTTCTGTTAGACCATTTTTGTTAAGACCATTAACCCAAAGAAGGGGGGAAAAAACACAAGCAAAATTTCTCTCTTGATTTCAGTATGACAAAAATTCAGTTTTGAACTGCCTTTTAATAATGATTTGCAAATTGTAGTTTTTCAAAAAATGTGGGTCAGGAACAATGGTGCATGCCTGTAATCCTATAATCCCAATGACTCCAGAGGCTAAAACAGGAGGATCACAAGTTTGAGGCCAGCCTCAGCAATTTAAAGAGGCCATAAGTTACTTAGTGAGACCCTATAAAATAAAATTAAATTAATAGGGCTGGTGGTGGGGATGTACCTAAGTGATAATGTTTCTGTAGGCTCAATCCCCAGTACCAAAAATAAAAATGTAGGCTTACCTAAGGCATTTTACACGTTTACAAGGCTCACAGTAGTCTGTAGGGTTGAAGGCTTTATAAGAAGCAATATGTCATGATTTCTTATTGGTGTTGATTGAAAACATGGTAATTTGTTCTATTGAAAAAAACTGAAACATTGGTTGTCCAAAGACATAAGGCTCAGTACAATTCTATATTGATACATCATAAAAAAGATTTCCAAAAGTCATGAAAAGCAAATAGAAAAGTATAACACATAGTCTAAATTTTTATCCTTTGAGTCACCTTTGAGAATTTGTGTTTGTGTGTGTGCATTCAAAATATGTACATTCATGTACTTTGAGGTGTAAAATGTATTTCTGTAGATTTTAATCTGTTTCTTGCATGTTTATTTTCTTTTTAAAATTTTTTAAAATAATTTCATTTTATTAATTTTTATGAGGTGCTGAGGATCAAATCCAGTGCCTTACACATATGAGATGAGCACTGTACCACTGAGCCATGACCTCAGCTCCATGTTTGTTTTCTTGGTGGCAGCAATGGTTAAAAATGATCTGTACATACATGTGAATTTTCTAGACAAAAACATGGAATTGATTTTTTTTAATGTTTTGAGTTATTAGGGATCAAAGTCAGGGCTTTGTACATACTAAGCATGCTCTACCACTGTGCTACATCCTCAGCTCTTTTTATTTTGAGACATGGTCATGCTAACTTGCCCATGATAGCCTTGAACTTATGATCCTCTTGCCTTAGCCTCCCAGATAGCTGGGATTAAAACACAGAATTTATTCTAAATTTATTTCTTACTAAAGGAAAGGCATTAACAGAAATAATTTTATTTCCTAACCAAATAATGCCTTCTTATTAAACTTTTCTGGAAATTATTTCAAACAAAGCACTGCAAAAATAAAATTATTTCAAAAAATACATATATCCTTTACCTAGATTCACCTATTAATATTTAATCCTCTTTTCTCTTTCTTGACAGATAAATTGTTTTTTTAAATTATTTGAGGGTAAGTTGCATATATCATGGCCTTTTACATCTAAATATTTCAGTTCATATTTCTAAAGAATAGGGATATTCTTGCCAGGTGCAGTAGCTCAGGCCTGTATCACAATGACTAGGGAAACTGAGGCAAGAGGATTGCAAGTTCAAAGCCAGCTTCAGCAATTTACAGAGGCCCTAACCAATTTAGTGAGACCCTGTCTCAAAATAAACAATAAAAAGGGCTGGGGGTGAAGTTAAGTGACCCGGGTTCAACCTCTGGTGCCCCCTCCAAAAAAAGAATAGGGATATTCTTTTACATAATTATAAATAAATATTTTAATTGAACAATAGGAGACAACTTACCATCAGTAGTTTCATCACCTCCAAAACGCTGTCTATAGAAGAGCATCAGTTCAATGTTGTAGCATTTGTAGATGATCACCAGCAGTATAAAGAGGAGGAAGATTGCTCCCAAGCCCCCTGCAAGCTCAATTTTGTAGATTAAATCTGAAGCAAACAGAATCAACAGGAAAAGGTAATTAAATCAGCGATACTTGGGATTTTCCCAGATTTCTAGTTTGTGTGTAAAATTTATTACCCCTTTGTATTTTCTTTCAAAAATATTCTTGCTTAATGCTTTACTCTTGATATATCTGTATGAGTTAAATCTTTGTAAAATTAATTATTTCCTAAAAATTTGATTGATTTGTTTTTATTTTATTTATTTTTATTTTTTTATTTTTAGTTATACATGACAGTCAAGTATAATTTAACTCATTTAAACAAACATGGAGTACATCTTATTGTAATTAGGATTGCAGTCTTGTGGTTGTACATGATGTGAGATTCACTGTGGTATATTCATATATTTACATAGGAATTTTAGGTCAGAACTATTCCCCTATCTTTCATATTTCTTTCTGATTTGCTATTAAAGGTCACAAGTCTATCTAAAATGTAATAGTCACTCCCAATTTATATTGTTTTCATATATATACTATTGCTTTAACTGTATTTCAGGGAACTGTTAAAGCTGTGTTGTTCTGGTTTCAGGGCCTATGTTTTCTTGTTTTTTGCTAAATTATCTCATTGGCTTAGCAAGATTACCATCTTGAACTTCTGAGGCCACAGGCCCTATTCTTCTGAAGGAGAAGAATGTCATAAAATTACTTTCAGAATCAAATAAAATTTAATAAGGATGAAATATTAAACTGTTTCACTTAACCCCAGTAGGGCATAATCTAATACAAGGTAAGCAGAGGAAATTACCTTACCCATTTTCCCTACTTATTTGAATAAATGACCATAATATATATGTGATATAATACGCACTGTGGAATTAAAAGAGAATGAGAAATACTGGCTAATCACTTAGCCTCTTTGACTAACACCAGGTTACACCTGTATTAGGCTGCTCCAGTGGGTATCCCTAGAACTCTGAGAGTTGGGATAATCAAATCAATACATAATAGAAGGAAACAGAATGTCTCCCTGGATCAGGGAACAGTGAATTACCCATAGATTAGTTAGTGATATTAACAAATCTAAAGAATGTATCATCAAAAGAGGGAATGCTACCATGGAATTTAGGGAAATGGAAAATCAAGAGAATTTAGAATGTGAGTTCAGCACTGTAAAGAGAAGAAATGCTAAATCTGAGAGACATGAGAGCAGAAATATATTTTAACTGAGGACAAGAACATTTAGTGGTCTCATCATAACTCAATGAAATTGCTTAAAGATTATCTGACTTTTTAATCTAATTCATAATTACCAAGTGACTATTCTATTACTAATTTAGCTCTCCAAGTAATGAGAAACTGGGAAAGGGAATGACATTCTGGTTTATACATCAGTTGTTTTTGAGTTTCATTGGCATTGGTCAGTCTCTCTGGATGGATCAATTCTGGAGCACTGTCAAAATTAAATTACTGGCCATGTCAATATGTCACTCTTGAAAATCAGATAGTCAATATTTCTCTGTGAATCTCCTTGTCTTTTCATATGATCATTGCTTAAGAAAAATTAATCAGGACCAATATATCAATTAAGATTGATTTATCATGTTATACTTTGTAAAAAGAAAAGCATATAGCATATACAGGAAATATACTACTTTATAGTATATAAATATATAAATATATATATAATATATATAATAAATATATATACTATATATTTATATATATAAATAAATATATAGTATATAAATATATAAATATAGTATATATTTATCCAGTCTATTATCTACTGTGTAAATAATCCTACAGCACAAAAAAATATTCAAATGTGTAGATGAAGAATTTGAAATGGTAGTATAAGACACTTATCCAAGGTCATGTACCTAAAAGAAGTGGCCAATATAGGACATGAGCCAAGGTCTCCTAACTTCAAATTGAAGTTTTATTATACCACAGCTTTACATGCTCTATTCTGAATGTAGGCACAGAAATACTACCTAATTTTCCATAGACTGTTGGTAGTACTTCCTGAATATCATGTGACTTGTGAATTTTGACTTCTTTTGACCTTTTAGTTCCAAGGTGAAAAGATAAACTACAATTTATCAGACAGAATGAAAGAACTGGGTAGCTCTCGGAAACATCAATTGGGGGGGTTACTACAGAATCTTGTAGCTGTAGCAGGGGAGAAAGGATGGGATACCTGGAGTCCATTTTATAAAAGATATGTTAGGTTTTGTGTGAAGAAAGGGAATTTAGTCTTGTAAAGGAAGTGGAGTGAGAGAGGAGATGATGGTGGCCAGCCAATAAGGAAAATCATGGAGTGGAAATATAAAAATCACAAAGGTCACCTTTTTTGAGCAAGGATTGAGAGAGAAGAATGAAGAAATGAAGAGAGTGGGACTGGTATGATGTACAAACTATATTAATTAGGAATATTATGAGGGGACATGTAATGAGCAGTGATAGAAAATTGGAATCTATCTGTTGCAAAAGGAGTTCATTTTGGATATTAAGCAAATTTTAATTTGAAAAAATAATTCCCACCACAAATTAGCTCTGCTTCTTCTCCTCTACACTGCCTACTTCTATGTGGAGATAAACCAAGCTTACTCAAAGAGACCTCTGTAGAGATGCAAATCACCAATCTTTATTTGTTTTCTTACTGTCTTAAATCAGTTATGAATAATTAATAGCCAGTGTTATGTTGAAAGCAATACAATTTTTTGTTACTCTGAAAATCAGTTTCTCTTTCATTTTAGGGCATTAATTGACTTAATCCAAAATGTTTTTTTCCTGTTATGTTTATTTTATGATATAAATGCTATTCTCTCTTTCTCCCTCTTTCTCCTACACCCGTCCACCCCCCTCACATTTTTCTCTCTGGTCAGAACAGCGTTAACTGTTTTCAAAGTCACTTAATGGGGATTTTACCACCAATTTCTATGTTATTTACAGAGTAGAATTTATATTAGGTAGATGGGAAAATTCAGCAGCAGAAACAATTTATGCTCCCAAGAAGCAGACACTTTTTTCAGCAGTAAATTTATGGAAGAAAACTATGGTGTGAAAAGTACCTTTGTGATCTTGGAGTCCATTTTATAAGAAAAAGTCTTTGAAAAGTATTACATAATGATGGGTGTTTAAGTTGAAAACTATGGACCTAGGCTCCGAGACTCAACCTGTATTCTTTGATCAGGCAGTCACATCAAAAGAGAAACATCTATCCTATAATCAGAGGGGAGAATTGCCATCACCCAAATAACACCTGGCTTTTCTTTTGTCTTCTGTTTTCACTTGCCATTTTGTATCTCAGCAGGAGCTATATTTCTAGGGACATTCCCTGACTGTGAAGCTGAAAGTCATTTTATTTGGGCTGTACTTGTATACTGTTCATGAGGATAGCTGTAGTTAGAACAGAAAATATTTATGGGATGGGATTGTAACTTTTTCTAGGCACCCAAAGTACAAGTATAGTTTTTTTAATCTTCTTACTTTGAACCTACCTATTTCTTTACCATGAATACAAACATCAGATACTACAGAATGGAACAAATAGCACCTGAAGCCAATAGACCAGAGAGAAAGAGGGCTGGGAATGTGGTGTTGATTTGAATATTGGCAGAAATATGGGTTGTAAAGGCCATTCTGATATTCTCTTATATAAAAAAAGATGACTGGATCCTTACCACACATGAATCTAACAGTACCTTAATTTTGGACATTACAGCCTTCAGAGCTATGGGAAATAAAGTTTCTGTTCTTTATAAATTACTTGATCTTAGGTAAATTTTATGGCAACCTGAATACACTAAGAAAACTTTCTGTATACTTTGAAGAGTTAGGGCATAACAAGAAGACTGAAATGAAAAGAGGTATTCAGTGATACATATCTGTTTTGTGGTAAAGATCTTTTTTTTTCTTTGCAGAGAATGAGGAATAATTATGAGAATTTCTTTAACTTAAGATCAGAGTCTCGGCATACCAAAAAAAAAAAAAAAAAACATTTAGGACAGACCTTATACCGAAATTTAGTTGTACTTACTGACTAATGTTTTATCTAAGAATAAGAAAGTGGTAAGTGTAGGTTGAAGATGCATAGGTAAAGGGCATCTTGTTTTTACAAAATCTGACCCTGTTAATTGGGTATGTTGGACATGAGTTTTCATTTTTCAAAAGGCCTTTTTTAGTTTATGAATGGATTAATTACTTTTATTCTCATATTGATCACTTAGAAAATTTAAGATGTTTGACTTACAGATCATTAAGAAGTTATTGTTCCATAAAAAGCCATATTCATACTCTAGTTAGGAAATCTATAGTCAACAAGATCAGTCTATGCTGAGATAGAACCAAAAAGATATAACTCCAAAGGATATGTCTGAAGTTTCTCAAGACAACCAAAACTTTGGTCTGACTAAAATAATTAGGGTAGAATCATATGGATTTTTGCTCTTCTTTGGGGTTCTACCATATTTTTGAGAGCTGCTAATAAGACTAAATGAGAAAAGATTAACTGCATCCTTTTACAAGGATGAAAAAGTGAAAAAATAATAATAAATGTTACCTAGAATGGAGAGGGAAAACTAGTGTACTGTGAGTGAAAAATTGTTTTGTTGGAGTTCAAAATGTTTCAAAAATGAATACTAATATTTAAAAATGAAAATGTTTAATAATCAGCCTTTCAGCTTCTTGAAAACTTTCAAGCTCTCATATACATGAACCCACATTCTAGTAAGCATGGTAAAAATCTTCTAGAACCCCTTTAAAGCAAGAGATGTTTTCTTTAATCTATGTTTTTTTTTTAATCTGGCTGTTCAAAAAACATTCTCTAACTGCCTAGTCCCCGAGGACTTTGAGTTTTCAATATGAAACATGGAAAGTATAGGTGGACACGGTGGGACACAAGTGGTAATCCCAGTGGCACAGGAGACTGAGGTAGGAGGATTGCAAATATCAAGCCAGGATGGCCAATTTAGGAATATTCTTCTCAAAACAAACAAACAAACAAAAGAGGGCTGGAGATATAGCTCAGAGGTAGAATGCTCCTAGGATTAATCCCCAACAGTACACACACAAAAATAAGAGAATAAAAACTTGGAAAGTAAAAATTTTTGAAAGGAAAACATGTATTTTGATAAACCAGGGAAGACAGTAGTTAAGACAAGAGCACAGATCAAATCTTCTCTGTATTAATCCTTTTATCTTTCTCTTACCCCTACTGTCCTGGTCCTCTGTGAGGAGAGTTTTCATCCAACAAATATTTTTGAGCACTTATTGTGTTTTATATACTAGGGGTAAAATGATAAATGAGACTGGTAAAGTCCCTGTTCTCATGCTATTTACTTTGTAGCGGGGTAAGAAGAAAAGAAGCCAACAAATATGTAATTATAATATCAAATATAATGAAAACAATAAAAAGAAATCAGACATGTTAGAGAAAAAAGAAAATTAAGCTAATTATATTTCATATATGGTGGCCAGGGAAGACCTAATGAGTAGGTAATATATAAGAAGACAACTGTGTGAAATAAGGGAGTGAGTCATGGAGATAGCTGAGGAAAGAGTGTTTCTGGAAGAGGAAATAGCCTGTGTGAAGTATTTGAGGTGGGACTGTACTTAATGAGCATGAGAAATAGAAAGGGGGCTAGTATGTATGATGATTAAGACAGAGTGTTGTAGAAAGTAAGAGGAAAAATAAGTAGATTGTGAAGTGCCTTATAGGTCATAGTTCAGGTTTGGGATTTCATTCAATTTGTGCTGGTCCATCAGAATACAGTGGGGGCAGTGATGGAAGTGATCAGATTCTGTATAGGCTTTGAAAGTAGAGCCATGGGATTTTTTTGATGGGCTCAATACAGGATGTGGGTAGTGAAAAGGTAAAGTGAAGAATGACTTCACAAATTTTGGCCTGAGCAACCAGAAGGATGGTGATGGAGATAAAGAAGGAGACTGAAGTATGAGATTTGTAGAGGGGAGAAATTAGAAATCTTGTTTGGGGAAAGCAAAATTTGATATGGCTACTAGATCTCAAAATGGCGTAGTTGACCAGACAAATTGATATACAAATTTGGGGTTCAGGTGAGAAATCCTGGCTAGTGATATAAATATTGGAGTTTTCATCATATATGGTAAGCAAAAACATGAGGGAGGCTGAATGAAATTACCTGGCCAATGAGCAAAGAGACCTGAAACCTGGGAACCCCAATATTTAAATACTAGAAAGACGAGAATTGATATCATCAATTATTCATAATTTTAGATAGGTTTGCTTGTAGAAACTATAGGAGGTAGCAGAGTTTTACAGAGTGTCTTATTTGACACAGTCAGATTTCTAGACATTTTATGGACTGTTGTTTGTTGTTTTACTTATTTGAAAACTAATATAAGACTATGCCTGTCTCCACTGGCTAAATTATAGTACCCTCAATATTTTTCTTAATAGGAGGTTTCTAATTATAACACTATATATCTTTTGTGAATTTTTTCTTAATATTTAATGTATGGCTTTCTTTGCATTCTCACCTCCACAAAGACTACAAGCTCCACAAGACTTGTGGGATATCTATTTTATTCAGCAGTCTATTCTTCACAATAAGCATGGTGCTTGCTATACATGAATCCTCAATGACAAAATATAATTTTAATTATTTATTTGACCAGAATATATTCAAGGTACCTATTAGTGGCCAGACACTGCCTAAATTGCTAAAGGTACAGAAGTACAGCAGCATCTCTGGCTTGGAGAATCTCTGAACATGAAATAAGACTGAAATGGACAGAAACGAAGTGATCTTTGCTATAAGGTACCTGGACATGGTCAGTGCCTGCCCTTCATGTAGGTGGACTAAGTGGTTTCCTAATGCATAGGATAACATAGGAGAAATTATGCAAGTTTCATATAATAAAAAATTATTTAGGCATAATAAATTTCACATCCATCATATCATTATCATTTGAACTCAAAGTAACTCAAGAAGGTAGATATTATAACCCCTATTTTACAGATGAGAAAGCTAATATTCAGGAATCATAATCAGACAAAAAATCCTACTGAACCATATGGCTGAACCTGGATCTCCTGACTTTACTTTCTGTATTAGAGTCATTTATACTTAAGTACTCCTTTATTTTAAGAAAGAATCAAGTACAATAGAAATAAGAAATGGTGCTAGAGAGAGAGAAGCATTATTCTTGGAATAATGACATTTCTCATTTTCTTCCAGAGCTTCTGGTCATGCTCAAGAACTAAGGCTGGCTGGAAAATAGAAATTCCATCCTGGCCAGGATGTACAAATGGTGACCTTGCTGATTGAATTGTTCTATTGCTCTATAGCCTAGGCAACAAGAACACTGATTGAGAACATTTGTTCTGCTACATTTACAAAACTTTTGCCAGAAGCACACGCAAAGTATTTAGCCTCTTGCAGTAATCAAGAGTCATAGCAAGGTAAGAGCCAATTTAGAAACTTCTTTAGCTGCTGAGATTGTTCTTAGGTCTGTAAATTTAGAGTTTCTTTTCTTTGTCCTTTATAAAGATTTTATCCAGTCTAGATCTGATTCTAGATAGGGATCTCCATAAATGCCAAATTATTTAGAAATATATTGACCTATGAAAGGCCTCTTAACACCAGGTTATATTACAAAATATAGCTTATAAACTTTATGTTATAATTGAAAGGTTATAGGACACTATTAATTATTTTATTTAAGTTTTAGTCAGAAAATAAACAAGCAACTTTGTTTTTCATACGGTTTTCAAATTTTTCATACAATTCCTATCATTATATTTAAATAACATAAGATATATGAAGGTGAAATACAGACAAAATATTGAATGAATCTGTGGATTCCATTTAATGTAACATGATTATAATCAGATACATTTCATCTCAATTGATTTAACATATAATAAGGCTTAGTTTACTTATTTATTTCCTAGTGATACTGAAGATCATAGGCATTTTATGTACATGAGAAATATTGTTCCTTGAAGACACAAAATGATTAACAGAAATTGATACTCTATGATACAATAAAGCCAGAAAACATACAACTTTAAACTATTAAACATACAACTTTAAACTATTTGTGACTAAACAAAATATAGTTATAGCTGTAAAAATAAGTACCCTTTTTACGCAGAAGAACGCTGGCGTGTTTCCGTCCATTTCGGTTTTCTACATGGCAGGTGTAATTAGCCAGGTCAGCCTCCACCACTGAATCAAAAATGAGTGCCAACTCAACTTCTTTTTCTCCAAGATGCTCTTTGAGGAGTCTGAAATAAAGACAGTATTCTTGTTTTAATAAGTTTGTATTGGGTAGAAAGCATCCACGTAGTCTACAAATTGTTACACAATCCTCCCATCCTAAGTCTCTGATGGCCACAGAGAGTTCTGCCTGGATTTATGTGTATGTGGACCCTCAAATAAGAAAATACAAAAGTGTACCTTGACTGAAGGACAAATAAGAAAGAAAAGTGAGGAACTCAGTAATACAAAATATTAGCATGATAAATGAAGCCAACATGGTTTCTGTGACAAAAAAGATGGAACATTAGCTTCCATATTCTAAACTGATTTTATGAGAACTAATTGGATACTTTTATATTATGATATGAAGGAAAAACTAATTTTTAGAAGTATAGGTTTTGTTATTAGAGGTCAGAGTTTTAGGCAGTAAATGGTTGCCATATGAAAAGTAAACCAAAGATGTTTAATGGCCTTCAATTTTCAAATATCAGTGAGAAGCTTTTTCTCTTCTTTTCTCTTGCTTGCTATTTAATGCAGTAATGTGGCAGGCTCCCTAATCTCCCCAGTGATGCTCATCCCACCTCTACCTTGGCCCTGATTTCTCCAGACAATGCTCCACAATCACCCTTCTGCTTTGCCAACTCACGGGAAGTAACATGCTTTATGTAAAATTCAGGTTTTTGCTTTCTCAAATGAAGTTGCAAAGGGTCTATAATAGCCAGGAATAGGTATTCTTTGCAGAGACATTGATTTTCCAGAACTCTTTTTTAAGGGGTGCAGCTTTTGATTATTGAAGTGTTATATTCTTACTAGCAATGTATTACCTCCTGAGCAAGATGAAACTGGGTACCCTACTGCCTTTTCTTTATTCTGCTGCCTTAGGGGAGACAGTCATGTGACAAAGTTCTGGCAATCCTGCATTTTGGTTCTAGTACATGTCCTTACATACACAGATTTGTAAGAATAAAATATTTCATATGAAATGGGGAACCAAAAGTAATTCTTTTTTGTTGTTGTTTTGTGCTGTCTTGCCCTTCATTTATTTATTAATTTTTATGTGTTCTCTTTAGTTACACATGACAGTAGAATGTATTTTTCTTATCTTCATTGTGGACATATGAATATGAGCTTAGGAAGGAACCCTGAGTTACCAGTACTGTGCATAAGTTGGAAAAGGCAATTGTGCTCAGGAAAAAGCTGGGTTCTAAATACAGGCCTCTCATTGAAACTCAAGCTGGATCCTTAAAATAATCATTAACTAAATTTTGCTTTGATTTAACTCATATTTAAGTTGGAGAAAAAAACTTATATGCTTAATTTTGTTGTGAGAGTGAAATGGGTTAAAGTGATTTGAAAAGTAAATAGCACTTTACAAATGCAAAGGAATGCTATTGAATATAAACATTTCATTATCTGAAGGTAGATTATTTAGATTTTGACTTATACAAAAATATTTGTATTTATACTTATTGATATTTCAGGTTGACTTATCTTAATATCTTCTGGCTTTTTAGAGAAGGAAGGGCTTAAAGTAGGGTTGGTGGAAGAGAGTTTCCAGACTCTGAGAATCTCCAGTGAAATCTTAAGCCCAAATTTTATTTATAGTGGACATGCTTTTAAAATTAACTCTGTTTCTGTTCTCTTCCAACAGTGTCCATGCCTGAGAGTTTAGAATACCAGCATTTGTAGTTCAAGTAAGTCTTCTCTTGTCCATGACATTTATGTACTGTCACTGTACATAAAGTGAGTATAAGGTTTTCTTAACTGATTTTTTTGAGACAGAGTCTCATTAAGTTGCTTAGGGCCTCACTAAGATGATGACTGTGATCTTGAACTTGTGATCCTCCTGTCTAGCCTTCTGAGCTGCTGAAATCTTAACTGAATATTTGAAAGTACATTTTACTGTTAGTCTTTCTGATAAGTGTTTTTCTTTCTAACTAAAGTTATAGTTTCCCCTTTCTATATTTTTTCCTCAAGGAAAAATTGGGAATTTACTATCTTCAGGTTTACATTGATTTGCTCCCTCCATTTCCTCCCTACTACTGATAAATCTCACCATATTCAATTATTTTAGCTCTATATAACCTGCAATGGATAACCCTCCTGTAGTTCCAGAAGCTGCTTAGGCACCACAAATTCAGTTTGATTTAAAGCTTCACAGGGAAGTCAGCCACAACCTCTGCCAAACACAGAGCCGAAAGCTGATCTTGTTCCTCACGACCAAACCTTTCCCTCTGTGTTTCTAATGCAGTTTCCAAAAACAGCTCTTCACAAGCTACAGAAAGAATTTGGAGAGAGGATTTGAAAAATGATCCTTGGTCCATCTATTAATATATATGAGGTGTCTTAATTATCAGCTCTTAAAAACCTAGAGGTGACTTGCTTTTTTGGAATTAAATAGCAGGTTGGTGTTTATGTGTACAAATCACTCCGCAGAGCAGTCATAATTTCCTACCAAATATTGATATATAACAATCCATCAATGATTCTTTGTCAGTTTCTAATAAGTGTCTAGCTTTGGGTGAGATATTTGGTATAAGAGAAATGTAAACTTTAAAAATCCTGGTCTCTGACTCCATTAAGCTTTAAAATTCAAATGAGTAGATAAAAGTAAAACAGTTGAAAACATAGGAAAAGTGAAGTAAAGCAGGGTGATACAGTCATGCTTATAAAAGAATTTCAAAGGAGGAAGATACTGTCTAAATTAGTTAGAAAAGACTTGAGAAACTGGGTAGACAAAAGGAAAAGTGGGGAGTTTTCTGTAAGAGAAGATAGGAGCATGATTTTGCAAAACGCATGAAAGAGAAACACTAAAGAAATAGGTTTTGAATGGGGGATACAATTGAGGGAATCCTGGGATGTATTTCAAATGACTTCAGAAATATCTCATTAAAAGGCTTTACATAGGGTGGGGAGGGATAAGCCACACACATTTGAATTTATTTTATTTTTCAAAAATATTTTTGTAGTTGTAGATGGACAGAATGCCTTTATTTTATTTGTTTATTTTTATGTGACGCTGAGGATCAAACCCAGTGCCTCGCATGTGCTAAGCAAGTGCTCTCCTCTGAGCTATAGCACCAGCCCTTGGATTTATTTTAACAGCTTCTTTAGGGTATAATTTATATACTAAAAATTTGCACATATGTACTTGACACAGTTTGGTGAGTTTTGGACACATGCATATATCCATGGGAATGATATGACAATGAAATAGTCCAATAATTAATATTTAAAGCAACTTAATGTAGTAGTGAACAAGGGAAAATAATTTGGGGGGACAGAAATTGCTACTTTCAAAAGTAAGTTTAGGGGCTGGGATTGTAGTTTAGTGGTAGAGCACTTGCCTAGTGTGAGAGGCACTGGGTTAGATCCTCAGCACCACATAAAAATAAATAAATAAATAAAATAAAATAAAGATATTGTGTTTATGTGAGAAAGAGAGTGACAATTTCCATACTCTTTCTAGTATTAGTTTTTAACCAATTGTTCTAACTAGAGTGTGGAAATTGTTACTCCCTTCCTCACACAAAAATATATTGAACTAATGGAAAATTATCAACTCTTCTTAGATTCATTAGGTAATTGAAGTCACAGGACAAACTCCTGCCCACTGTGTACTTGTATTAAAATCTCAAGAGTTTGTGCCAGTACCAGCAGAAACACTTAGATTACAATCAAATGCAATGAGTTCATGTACTGACACATCATATTGTATTTCATTAATATGTACCATGTTTATGTTTTTATGCATAAGTTAGGACAAATTTTTAAAAAAATGAAATTGATTAATTTCTAGAGGCTCATTGTGGTTGAACTTAAGAATTAAAAACTCCATGGTACATAATCTTAGAGACCTCACACTTTCATAAGTTTTGCCTAGAGCCTAGAGGAGCAGAACCAGTTCTCAGGGTGAAAATTAGATAAAGGTCCCCTTATGCTTCAGGCAGGTAGAAAGAAAAAGGTAATCATTTAAAAAATGAGCCCAGAACATTCTGTTCTCCTTTTCAAAAACCTGCCTTCAGGGGAAACTAGTTTATCAGAACCTAAACTATTTAAAATTTACCAAGGCCTAACCTAACAGGGAAAAGGGAAACACCCAACTTCAGGCCCCTCTAGCTTTCCCGTGTTACCTAAAGGGAGGTGAACCTGAGAAACATTTATGATGATAACAGTCCAGGGGGACAGGCTCATTAAAAGACTAAAACTTCATCATAGAATTATGGAATGACTGCCACTATCTCAATCAGACTCCTATGTGATAACAAACAACTTTAGCTGAAATAATTGCAAAGCTCAGACCCTGTTTAAGAAACCATTTCTAGGAAAACCAAGCAAAAAAGTGGAGACAAAAACTAGGACACCAGAGGAAATTTTATTCTTTGATACTTGCAGCTATAATGAACAGCAAACATAGCCTAACCCTTAGCCAGATAAAAAGAAAGTCTCACATTAAAGGCCTATTAATCTCAGTTTATTTAATCCAATACATTTTATCTGATTTTCAACAAGAACAATGGCAACAACAACAACAATAACAAAATTACAAAGCACACAAAAAAGCAACAAAATGAAGCCACAAAAGCCCTCATAGATATATCAGAGCCTGAAAATATAAAAAAAAAATCTACGATTAATTTTTAAGGGCTCTGATGGAGAAACTGTACAATATACATTAATAGATAAGTAATAGAACAAGAGATGAAAATTCTAAGAGTCAAAAGTAAATGCTAGAAATTAAAGCACTGTACAGAAATGAATAATGCTTTTGACAGACTGTAGATGAGAAGTAGCCAAAAAATGAATCAGTGAACTTAAACATATGATGACAGAAATGCTGAACTGAAATGCAAAGAGAAAAAGAATGAAAAAGACTGTAACACGATATTTAACTTTAAAACATCAAAGACAAAAAAAGTCTTGAAAGACACCAATAGAAACAAAACAATAACAAAATACCTTATATACAGAGCAATAGCATAAAAGAAATATCAGATTTTTATTTAAAAACAATTTGTAAAAGAAG